CTTCTTCTGTGCCCACCTTGGTTTTAGGTGCCAGGAATACCTAGTGGGCAAGATGGAATAGGTTTCTCCCTTCAGGGAGCTGATGTTCTAGTCAGTGAGGGAAACAATAAGCCAGCAGACAGATAAATGAGGAATTTCAGATGAGGATGAAGTGCTACGAAGACAGTAAAACAACGCGGTATGAGTGGAGTGCCCAGCTTCTTCAGATTTGATGGTCACAGCAGGCCGCATTGAAAAGCTAACTCCAGAATGAGAAGCCAGCCATGCAGGGATCGGGACAGACGGTTCTTGGCGGTGGTGCTGTAAGACTTTCTCCTTACAGGGTCCTTGCCACTTAACCATGAAAGATTAGGCTCACAGACACTTTGAAGGGTGAGGAAAATGGAATTTATTAGGGAAAACCAAGACTCTCAGCAAAGCAAGAGTCCTGCTAGCCAGTTTTCCTCCTCACAGATTGAATCCCAGTTTCCACCCCGGAACAGGAGAGGTCAGGCTCCTCTGCCCTGCAAAGGGCTGGAACTTCTGTAGTTCCACCCCATTCTTCCAGTGTGCAGGCAGCCAGAGTTTCTCTGGGGACCCCTTTATGCGTGGCTGTCTCAGTGGGAGTGGCTAATGCAAAGGCTCAAGGGGAAGAACTGGCTTCTCCCGCTAGAGGAACCTCAGAAAGGCCATTGTGGCCAGAAGAGCCAAGAGGGATGAGCTCACCATTTGGCCGGACCCCCATCATGCAGGGTCTGGTAGGCCATGTGTGCTAGGGGTTGGCTGCCCATGAAGACACCACCCACAGGGCCTTCATTCCATAGAAATCTGTTTTCCACACAACAAAAAAGTCTGGAGGAGTCCACAGCTCTGAAGAGCTTCCATGGACCCTTAAATTACCACATGCCTTTGGCCTTTCTGCTCTGTCACCTTTAGCATGTGATTTTCACACCTTTGATTGCCTCACAGTTGTGACATGATTGTTCTACCCTTCGCCTTCTGTCTGAATTCAAGGTGGTACAACAACGAAGTCACCAGGAGGAAGGGGTGTCCCCGTATTAAGAATGCAAATTTCCCCCAAAATCCCCCCAGCAGATTTCTATGATCGGAGTCACTTGGCCACCCCTAACTACAAGGGAAGCTGAAAAATATGTTTGTTTTTTTCTGCAAAGTTCACTACCTTCTTAACAGTATTTCCTTCAGTAGGAATGCTACCGGGTAGATGGATTATTCCACACTGTAGTGAGTAGCTTGTATTCTATTCTAGAGGGGAAGCTATTTTGTGGGTAGGTGGGAGAATCAAGAGTTCTTTGAACATGTGAAATTAGACTTGGCTGTCAGGCTGTCAGGAGCAGACTGTGTCTGAGTCACGTAGCACCCAAGTATAATATGTTAGTGGCGGTGTATCTGTACAGGTCTGCAGCAACCTCTGTTCTTGCCTCTTCAGAAGAAAGAATTCAACTGAGGGGTGTAAGGCAGAAAGAGAAACCGAGGCAAGCCTTAAAGGAGGAGTGAAAGTTTATTAAAAAGCTTTAGATCAGGAGCAAAAGGAAAGTACAATTGGGAGATGGCCAAGCAGATGACTTTAGCAATCAATGCACGGGTTGACCTCTGACTTAGGGTTTTATATGTTTTGTGTCCCTTGTCCCCTGATTCTTCCCTTGGGGTGGGCTATCCACATGTGCAGTAACTTGCCAGCACTTGGAGCAGTGTGTTTACTGGAGTTGTATACGTGCTCACTTGAGGCTATCTTCCCTTACCAGAATGTTCCTAGAAGGTCATATATCAGTTAAGCTCTGCCATGTTGCCTCTTAGTGTGTGGCAAAGAGATCTTATCAGGAAGCTGCTGATCACTACTTTCAGGATTTTTCTATCTACTGGGAGACTGCCTTTTCCTGGCGCTGACTGCAACATATTATTATTTTAGAGAAACAGTGTAACAACGTCCTGACCATCACCTGATGGTCATAGGACACTCATGGTGGGGGTGGGGAGGGGGAGAGTCCTCTCCTGCCTGTTCAGGCGGACTAGCTACCTACTGTAACAACACCAGTTTCCCACTCAGTACATCCCTGGAGAACAGGTCACAGGAAAGGTACATGTCCCGTCAGGCCTCAAGGCAGTGCAGGGGCCACCAGGCCCCTCTGTAGCTCTGCTCCTTCCTATTGTTGGGGTTCAGGGGAGCCCTTAGCCCCCCTGAGAGGACGTTTCTCCAAGGTTCTTGGCCTCCTGCTCTCTCAAGAATGAGAGAGGGGACCAGGTGCGCTCGCACAGTAAATACGGACCCCAAACAGTGTTGCAGAAAAGTGATTTTGTTTAGGTAGAGAAAGAGAAAAAAAGAAGAGGAAGAGAGAGAACTTCCTGTGGGGGGGGATCCAAACATGGAGTCCAAAGTGGTGTGGAAGAAGGGGTCTTTTAACCTGGGAAGAACCCCCACCTTCTCTAAGTCCCCAGGTCAATGAAAGGAATTCCTTAGAACTTCCGATGGAGTGATTGACTTTTGACCTTCCCACACCCACGAAAATTTAAACAGACAGTTAAATCTCCCCTATGGAGAGAGATGGGAGTGGGGGCATGACGCTGGGAAGTTCTTGCCCTTAAAACTGCGCCCCCTTGTGGACCCGGAAAGAGAACACATTCCGTCACTATGAAGGCCTTTTTGTTTTTTAAAAAAATCCCAGGGTTCCTTACTAATAGCATTTGTTATGGAGTCTACGATGCTGTCGCTCATAACTTGCAACTTCGTTTAGGTACCACTAAGGGTAAAAACACTGCCAATTAAATGAAAGATACAATGAGTTCTTTCATTTTATACTTCCAAGAAGTAGTTCTTTAGGCTTAAGACATGAGTTTGTAACTATATAGCCCGTTTGCACATACATACAAGGGAAATTAATCAGTTAGGTATTCTTAAACCTTCAAGAATGTGAGTGATGTGGTGTCTCTTCAAAGAGTACCACAGTATTAATTTCAGGAGTCTCTTCTAAACTGCTGGCACCCACTTGCAAGTTTTGATGTGAATGCAAGACAATGACAAGCATATCATGGCTGCTGCCTGGCCAACAGTTATCCTATCAGTTATTCTGAAATGCTGAAATTCGGAGTGGGGAATGCAAGAACAACGTATTGTATCGGCATTTCCACGTGTGCCCTGACGCACAAGGAGTTGGGTAGTACTGAGTTAGACAATAAATAGGTAAGCCAAGGTGGTGGTGATGAATCTGGAGTCAGTGGAGGGGCAGAAATAGAGAGATGGGTTTGCAGATTCCACACCCAGAAGCATCTGCATGATAGTTGTCCACATTGGGCTGCATGTGACTCTCTATGGGAAGTCCGGATAGAGAAGAAGGCCAAAGCTGAGCCTTGGGATGCTCAAATGATTATAAATCTAAATGAGGGAGAACCGCAAAGCTGACAGAGTGCCCAGCCAGGGTGGCCAGAGAACTGGAGGGGCAGGCAGTGAGTGATGTGGGACCTTTGGAGCAAAGGAGGAGGGGGACGCCAGCTGCATCAAGTGCTGCTAAGAGCTCAAGGGGAACGAAAGTGGAAAATGACCGTCGGATCTGGCAGCACAGAGATTACAAGTGACTTCCACAAAAGGACTTCCGGCAGTTGAGGGCAGCGCAGCAGAGCTTGATGAACACCAGACAAACTGAACTGGAGCGGGCGATAAGGGATGAGGAGCCCAACCTCCCTGAACAGTTTTGTTGTCAAAGGGAAAAGTACAGCCAAGAGACGGGTGGCGTTTCCTTCGCTACAGCGATGAAGCCTGTCTGAATGCGAATTCGGCACGTGCGGAAGTTAACCGCAGTTGCAAAGCACCGAGGAAGGCGAGAAGATCCAAGACACAAGAGTGAAAGATCGGCCATGGCAACAGGAAGAGGAAGGCGAAAAACAAAAGCGTCCGAGGCCGGTCTCAATCAATTTAGGAAGTTTATTTTGCCAAGGTTAAGGACACGGCCTTCGGAAGTTCCGATGAGATGACATGTGCCCAGGGTGGCCAGCGTACATCTTGCTTTTATATATTTGAGGGAAGCATGAGACATCGATCAATACATAAGATGTAGGTAGCTCTTTGGGAGGTAAAACGTGAAGTGGGGGCATCCAGGCCATAGGTACATTTAAAGGTTTTCTGATTGGCAGTAGGTTGAGAGTTATCATCTAAAGACCTGGACTCAAGAGAAGGAGATGTCCGGGTTGCATCGAGGGGTTGTGGAGACCAAGGTGTCACGTAGATGAAGCCTGGGAATACACTGCAAATGTTTACAGACTTAAAGAGTCGGTCTATTAGTCTTGGGTCTCTGTGCCGATGTCTGTGAGGCCTCGTTTGACTTCCACTTCCCGTCATAGGCCTGAACTAGTTTTTCAGGATTAACTTAGAAGGCCACCGGCGGAGGGGAGGGCCCATCCCTTGTCTGCGGGCTTAGAATTTTATTTTTGGTTTATAACGGCGGAGGGCAGGGCACAGAAGCCACCCTCGCTGTTCCCCAGCGCTGCCCCGCACGCACTCCGAAAGCAGGCTCTCCCTTCGCACGTCTTTCAACAAGTTCCTGCTCTCTCGGTCCCGGTCGCTGCCGACTCTCCTCTCCGCGCTTCATTAGGCGCTGCGGCGGCAGGGACGGAGGGCCTCGGAGGACCGTCGCCTCCCCACCGGACGCCTCGGGCCCGGCCCGCACTGTGGGCGCCGCCACCCCGCCGCCGCCGCGTAACCGGGGGCCTGGCTGAGCGCGTTCACTGCAGGAGCAATCCTCACGCTGGACCCTATTTAACCTCCCGCGACTCCCGGGCCCGCAGCCAGCTGAGCCCTGCCTCCCTCCCCCTCCCTTCTCCTCCCTCCCCACTTTCTCTACCCCCTTCCTCCTCCAACCTCCCTCCCTCCCCCCTCCTCCTCCCCCGCCTCCGCCCTCGGCCTCCGCAGCCTACGTGGCGCGGCCGGCTGCGCATGCTCCGTACGCGTGGCTCGAGGCCCAGAGGGGCGAGGCCCGCAGGGACGTCAGCGCGCGCGCCGCGGGTGGGCTTGGCCGCGCCACGTCAGCTCCCGGCGGCCACGCCCCCTCCCCAGCGGTGTCTGTAACTGTGCTGGCGCGGCCCCGGCGCTTCACGCGCACGCGTTGCTCTCCCGCCGGCTCCCCAGCGCACACACCCGCGCTCACTCGCGCACTCCCGTCTGGCCGGAGAACCGCGCCGCCGCCTCGGCCCCGCGGAAGCCCCACCGCGCCATGTCTTCGCCTCCCGAAGGAAAACTAGAGACTAAAGCTGGACACCCGCCCGCCGGTACTGACTCGTTTCCCCTTTCTCTCGACGCGTGGGTGCCGGGGGCGGGCTCGAACCCAGGGACGCCGGGCGGGGGCTCCGCGGGAAGGGCCCCGGTGGGCGCTGACGCGGGGTCCCGGCCCCGATGCCCTCTCGAGGGGCGCGGGCCGCGCAGAGCTCGGGCGCCGAGGTCCGGGACGTGCCTGCCTGAGGCGCGCGGGCCGCCGCGTACCAGAGCGACAGCGCGCAGGCTCCGGTGCCGTGGGCGAGCCCAGTTGCACAACGTATAAAAAAGTTTGGGCGGGTAATATTTACTTACATGGTACAGATGTCTAGAAGGAAAATAACAGAAACAGTGAAAAGTCCGTGGTGTTAATATCATGATGATTAATTAGAGGCTGCCAGTGTTTCGTACCGACTCAGGAACCCAGGAGCGGAAATAATTTTTACCATTAATCACTCAATATGACTTTCACCGCCAGTTTCTTCCACATCCCGAATTTTTTTTCCCCAGAGGTGCTTTTTCTTTTTTTTTTTTTTTTTTTTTTTTTTTTTTTTTTTTTTTTTTTGAGCAAATTCTAAACTTCTGAGCCAAGGCAGTTAAAGCAAGGAAAGAGTGGTGTTTCTTAGAACATAGGGACCTAAACAGCCTTCAGGCTCGTGCCACCTCCTCCCCTCTCTGGGCACAGTTCCTGTTTGCACTTTGGACTCTGTCCAGAGGGGTCTGTTTCCACGTCTGCTCTCCTTTCCAGTGGCAGTCGGCCCATATGGAGGGGCGCTGGTGAGAAGATCAAAGGCCTTGAGTCTCAAGCCAAGTCACCTCGATGTGTGGATGTGCGGGGTTCTTTTAGGGTCTTAACTGTACGCCTTAGGGTAATACAGTCTTCTAGGAACAGAAGCCCTTGAGAAACATGGCTTCTTGTGGTGGCACATTTGTACCATTTTCTTGTACAATAAAGATTGCCGACCAGGTGAAGGAGGCTCACGCCGGTAATCCCAACACTTTGGGAGGCCAAGGAGGGTGAATCACCTGAGGTCAGGAGTTCAAGACCAGCCTGGCTACATGGCGAAACCCCTTCTCTACTAAAAGTACAAAAATGAACTGGGCGTGGTGGCGGATGCCTATAATCCCAGCTACTCCGGAGGCTAAGGCAGGAGAATGGTTTGAACCTGAGGCAGAGGTTGTAGTGAGCCGAGATTGAGCCAAAGCCCTCCACCCTGGGCAGCAAAGCGAAACTCCATCTCAGAAAAAAAAAAAAAAAAAAAAAAAGATGATTCCCGTTATTCTCCTCTGCTGTCCTCCATTATAGGGCCGGAATTCTCTGCCCCAGCACGATGAATAGGAGCGTTCTTTAAATATGTTGCAGTTCAGAGTAGGCAATGTTTTTCATTGGTGATGGAGGCTCTCAACAACGAAACTAACTGGCACTAGGGAAGAAAAATGTCTGATGCCAGAGGACTTAAGAGGCATGGGGTTGTAGAAAATCATTCCACTGTAATGGAAAATAGACTTTGGGGGAATTTGTGTTGCATTGGTTTTAAGAGGGGAAAAATGTATCTCAAAGGGAGATTTTTTTTTTTCCTTTCTTTCTTTTCTTTCTTTCTTTCTTTCTTTCTTTCTTTCTTTCTTTCTTTCTTTCTTTCTTTCTTTTCTTTCTTTCTTTCTTTCTTTCTTTCTGTGTGATTTCCTTTCAGGATAACTGACTTCCATTCTACCACAGCGGGTCCCTGTCTACCGTGGGGAGGAACACCTTGATTTCCACCTGGGGTGGGCTGTCTCCAGGAGCTGCAGCAGCTGCCTGCCCTGGCCCTCCACTACCCAGGACAGGTGCAGCATTAAAGCATATCTGTTGGAATGATACAGAACCAAAGTACAGTAATTAAGTTGCATACAGAGACATACCCATATGGAGGTTTTTTGTTTTGTTTTGAAACAGAGTCTCACTCTTGTCACCTAGGCTGGAGTGCAGTGGTGCAATCTTGGCCCACTGCAACTTCCACCTCCATGGTTCAAGTGATTCTCCTGCCTCAGCGTCTCGAGTACCTGGGTTTACAGGTGCCTGCCACCACACCTGGCTAATTTTTGTATTTTTAGTAGAGACGGGGTTTCGCAGTGTTGGCCGGGCTGGTCTAGAACTCCTGACCACAGGTGATCTGCCGGTCTTGGCCTCCCAAAGTGCCCATATGGAGATGTGCAAGATCAGAGGTATAAACTGTGATACTAACTCCCTGGAAGAAATTTTTTGCTGGACTCTGATTTTCTTTGAATTGCAGAGTAAATTCACAAATGCTTTGTGAATTACAGAGTAAGTAGTTTATTTACCCCTGAAGAGGGACAAGGCAGCCTATTTGTGCTAGTGTAGCAGTGAGCTTGGGTTCTAAGTTTGAAGAAATCACTTCACACTTCACTGGGCTCAGTTTTCCTCCTTTATGAAATTTGAGGTTTGGGCCTGAGTCAAGTTGCAGGGTGGGGCTGCCTTTGCTTCAGTGACTCTCCTGTCATTCTGCAGCATCAAGGCACCAGCGCTGTTCATCCCACAAGTAAACTCCTCTGGTGACTTTGGGGCAGCTCCTTTAGATTTATGGGTGAGCTCTTGAGAGTGGCTGTCACCATCTGTCATGTATCTCCAAGGCCATAGTTAGAGGAGTGGCCTGAGAGCAGCACCCCTCAAATGCACTCTCCTAGGTGTGACAGAGGACCCTGTGTGAACCTTTTTCAGCTGGAAGCTCCGCGTGTTTAGTCTGGCGTTGCCAGAGTAGGCAGCTCTGCAGGGTAGATAGTTTTAAAAAAAGGCAGCCCACGACAATAAAGTATAATCATCAAGGATAGCCAAGAGCATAGTTCATAAATCAAAATAACTGCCTGAAAAATGTCAAGAAGGCTTTCATTAAGTGCTAAAATTGGATAACAGACTTGTGCCTAAATCGTCAATCGGAAATAATAAAATTCTCTTACAGTGACTATCTTAATGTTCTTTTGTGTCTTCTCTTTATTGCTGTCTGGCCCATATCCCCTCCTGTACATCCCTGCAATCCCCTTGTTTTCCTTCGCGCACCAGCGTTTCCCTCTCTGCGTATCTTCTTGCTTCCAGAGCTGGGTCTTCTCCATCTCTTTATTCCCAGGGGGCAGCACAAAATACTCAATAAGCACTCCTGAGTTTCCCCTCATCTCACTCCTCACTGTTACCCATAGTATAGCGGGCCCACACCTTACCCCACTCTGAGCTCTCTCCAGTATACACAGGGATGCAGGTGGCCCTTTCCATGCTTCGGGCAGCAGAATTACTGGAAACACAAATGAAGTTTTTTGAGTGTCACAATGTGCTGACACACTTCTAAGCACTTCACACATTTAACTCATTAAATTAGCAGCCATCTTACTTTTGAAATACTGAGGACAGTACCATTTAAAAACCTGACGCAGGGCTGGGTGCAGTGGCTCACACCTATAATCCCAGTACTTAGGGAGGCCAAGGCAGGCGGAGCACCTGAGGTCAGGAGTTTGAGACTAGCCTGGCCAACATGGTGAAACCTATATAAAATTAGTCGGGCATGGTGGTGCATGCCTGTAATCCCAGCTACTAGGGAGGCTGAGGCTAAGGCAGGAGAATCACTTGAACCTGGGAGGCAGAGGTGGCAGTGAGCCGGGATCACGCCACTGTGATCCAGCCTGGGCAACAAGAGTGAAAACTTGGTCAATATATATATATATATATATATATATATATATATATATATATATATATATATATTCTGACCCAACCATTTGTAGTGTCTGTTGCCAACATCTCTAAGCCAGTCAATGGGAGCAGCCAGAAAGGCTGTTGCCTATTGGAATCTCAGCAGCCCGACAGAGGATTCCATCACTGGCCAGGTGCCTCTTCTGAAGGTGGGTGATTAATGAAGCAGTTTGTAAAGGCTTCTGAAGAGTGTTAGGGAAAGGTGCTGTGCAAATACCAGTATTGTTATTTATGCGTGATGAATGGCACTGCACATGTTCCAGCAAATGTGCTGTCGTCTGCAGTCCTCTGTAAAAGTAGTCCAGTCTTAGTGATTGGAGACCTCACCACTGCTCTTGACTGCAAAGTATTTACAGAGAAATGGGGTGAGACTGCTTGTTTGATGAGTTATTGCAAATGCAGATTAGCAAAGTTAGAACTAGTGAGATTCTTTCTGTTTCATCTAACAGCGGTCATAGCATTTCACAGCAGAAAAGACCTAATTATAATCCATGCTATTACTCCTTTCTGCAAGTCTTTATGAGTCTATGGCAGGGACATGAGTAAAATCTTTTTGTTAAATACATTTTGCTGGCCCCTTTTCCGTTTCCCTCCATTTCCCAGTGGAGCCTAAACCCTGTGTCAGCAGAGCTCCCACAAATCTGATACATGATAGCTTTGAATGTTACTAATCTTACATATGGTTTTCTTTGAAAAGCAGACTCTACATCCCCTCTCAAAGTGAATCAAATGGGAATAGAAACACCATTGTATTTGTTTCAAGTAAAATGGAAAATAAACCATGTTACTTTTTTTAGTAACTTCAAAGTAATTTAGTTCTCTCTTATGCTAACTGGTCAGACCTGAGTTAAGGATGCCTGTCAAAAGTTGAGTGTAATTCTCCCTGAATTATCTCCCTGCAGAAAGGTTTTCAGAATCGATTGCTAGAAACAGAAGACTAATTTGTCTCCTATTAACCATACAGTCACAGATGTGCTAAGCATAGTCCCAGTGTCAGCCAGTCAGGACCAAAGATTGAAGGTCCAGATAAGAGGTCTGCTCTTGTTCCCAACATGCCAACGAAAACAAGACCCTTTAGTTACTACATTTTTTTTTTTCCCCAGAAGCTTCCTGTCAAGGCAGCCGTGGCATTTCACCTTTTCTGTAGCCTTTTCTTTTTTTTCCAGACAAGGTCTCACTCAGGCTTGAGTGCAGTGGCATGACCTTGGCTCGCTGTGACCTTGGCTCACTGCAACCTTGGCCTTCTGGACTCAAGAGATCCTCGCCTCAGTGTGCTGAGCA